TCCACACTCCCCCTCATTCACAATGATATGATTTTTTTGTTCTTTGATGCCTGATGCCTGATCCCATTGACACCTCTTGATCACACAGGTTGGTGTGCTTCTTCAATGTGGGCTTTGTTGCTTCTGAACTAGATGGCCGCTTGTTTACCTTCAAGTCTTTAAGACCTTAGACGTTATATCTTTTGATAGCCGGGCTTCACCAGCTTTCTTTACCACATTTGCTTATGCACCCACTTTGTCTTCAGCAATCGTGTTGGGAAGGTGAGCATCATGAAATGCCAGTTTAATAGAACAAAGTATTCTTGCATTGAGGGAGTACTTGAGTGGAGGCCCAATGTCCATCTGCTACCGTAATACTAAACCTATAAATATATGCACATAGATCTATTTGAGGGGAAGATCTTAAGGTCTGTTAAATAACCATTGAACATTATGTATAATCTAGAGAAAGTCCAAAGTTTAAAAGCAAGAATACAGATTTGTCCCCACAGTAGATCTTGGCAGAAATGGATTTAGCTTCTGAATTTGACTAGCACTTCCAAGGCTGTAAATCATATGGAAACAGACTGCTACATCTTTCTCTCATGGTGTGGCTAGTAGGGATATTTCATTTAGCAGCTGAGCACTTAAGCACTGTGCCAACAGGGCTTTTTTTAAAATTAAATGTTAAATAATTTCTCATCGAGGAATTTACCTGATGGAAAAATAATCCAGGCTATGAATAGGTACACTTAAAAAAAAAACCTCACTGCCATCGAGTGACCCTATAGAACAGAGTAGAACTGTCTCTGTGGTTTTCCTAGACTGTAAATCTTTACAGGAGTGGGACACTGTCTTTCTTCCACAGAGCGGTGACGATTTTATACTGCCTACCTTGCAGTTGGCAGCCCAACTCGTAACCCACTATGCCAACTCAAAAACTTTGTGGAAAAATTCCAATATCCTTTAATTCCATTTGTCGACAAACATTTTGAAGCCAGTTTGTGTTATCCTTTTGTTTAGAATTGCAAAATAATACAAAAACCCTAAATCTCCAATAGTGATAGATTGGTTCAATTATATATATTAGCTTTGGAAAGCATATTGTCTTTCATGCTAGTATATGTAGTTGAAAGATACTCTGCTTGGTAAATTGAAGGGGCAGCCAAAAAGTAGAATTTACAAGATGGATTGGCGCAGTTGTTGCAACAATGGGCTCCCACAGAGCAGTTTGTGGCAACAGATTGAAGAGTGCTTTGTTTAACTGTGGATGGGAGGTGCTATTAGTTGGGACAACTTGACAGCACCTAATAGCAAGCCTTGGAAAGGCTGCAGCATTAGAGATCATGTGGTAGACACTGATGGCACCGTTATTTACAACACAGAGAAAGGAAGCGTGTACACTGAAACGTTAAGACTTGAAGGAAGTACATTAAGAATTTAAATACTGGTTGTTTCTAAGTGGTGAGCCTAACCAAAACCAAACTAGATTATTCCTGACTCATAGTGACCCTAGGACACAGTAGAACCACCCCTGTGAGTTTCCAAGGCTGTAAATCTTTATAGGAAAGCCTCATTTATCTTCGAGCTGGTAGTTTTGAACTGCTGACCTTTTAATTAGCAGCCTAACACATAATCCACAACGCCACCAACATTTTTCCCCCTGTTTTAGTATCTGCTCTATTTTTCTTTAATAGAGAAATGAATCTATGAATAGTTTTTATTACTGGAGATGAAATCTTTGTTTTTTAGGTATATTAAAATCATCTGATAAACAACTAGCTAATAACATAATTTTTATATAATTAACTTTTTTTCCCTCTTTCATTTTCAGGCTAGAAATGTACATACAGGAGAATTGGCTGCTGTAAAAATTATCAAATTGGAGCCTGGTACGTATTAAGACCCTCAAAATGATTTTTGAGTACTTTTTGGGCCTGTTCACAAATATACAACGTAAAAGAATTTTCTAGATTTCCTTCTTATTTTATTTTTCTCTTTCTAAGTAGAAGTCTCTTTATATATGTTGTCAGGCCAATTAGCATACCTCCAATATGGCTACATTAAATTTCATTGGAAGTTGTTAGTCAAAGGTCACTTTGATGTGGTAGTTTTGTTGCTAAGTAAACATTGAAATGTGTGCATTTAGAAATTCTCAAGGGACATTGACTGGCAATCTTAATTTTATTTTTAAATTTTAGTGGAATATTTGAGCATCACTTCTGGCTTTTTTGATCATTTGATTAGAGAGTATTCAGTTATATCCGAGGGGTTACAGGGAAGACAGAGATAAGAATTTATGAATTTAAGAAATACAGTCATGATAATATTTTATGTCAACTAAAACCTATCTGGTTGATTTAGATTTCTGGTTGTAGCTTAATGGTTCGTTTATTTTATCAACAGCTCTGTGACAGAGGCTGCTTGTTTTAAGATAGACTGAGTAATTTGCTTTGAAAACAAGATTGTATAAATCCTAAAACAATTTTACAATTTTGATTTTAAATGTTGATACTGAAAGTTTCTAATCAGTAGTAGTTTGAGGTTTGTTTGTTCATTTGTTGGTTCATAAAGTTAGATCTGAAGTTCCTAGGTAGGAGCTATAAACAGTTTGTGTGGTTCACATACTCAGCAGCTAGCTGAACGGTTGGAGGTGCAAGTCCACCCAGAGGTGTCTCAGAAGAAAGGTGCCTTGGAATCAACTCAATTGTAACCAGTAGTCTTAGACATATATAATGATTGTGACCACAATTATGCATCAGACTGCTTGTTAATTTAGGCAGGTAAAATGGTTTTGCGTTTTAAACTCAATATTTGGATTTTATGTTTATGATTCTGTAGAGAGGTGATGACATTATTGAGGTAGCACGTGTTGGAACACTTTAAAAATAAGCTGTATAACTAACTGTAGAGTTGCTTTAGGCTTGTGGCAATAGCATGCGTGTCAGAAGTGAACTGTGCTCCATGGGGTTTTCGGTGGCTGATCATTTTGAAAGTAGATCTCCAGGTCCAGCACCTCCAGGTAGACTTAAGCCACCAGCCCTTTGGTTAGCAGCTGAGTGCTTAACCATTTGCACCACAGGAAGATTCCTCAGAAATGATCAAAGTCAACAAACGATCTATTCTTATTCTTAGCGACCTATATAGAATCCTGTAGATCTGCCTGTTTGGGTTTCTGAGGCTGTGAAACTAAAGGAGCAGACAGCCTCAACTTTCCTGTGAAGCAGCTGACCTTTGGGTTAGCAGCCCAATGAGTCACCCACTACACACACAGGGCGCTTTCGTATGTGATCCCCAAGCCAAACCCACTGCCACTCAGTTGACTCCAACTCATAACAACCCTGGTAGGGTTTCTGAAGCTGCAAGTCTCTTTTGGAAGCAGGTAGCCTCATCTTTCTCGTGTGGAGCGGCAGGTGGGTCTAAACCACCAGCCTTGTGGTAGTGTTCTGGATTTCTATTTTGAGTACCAGTGTCATTTTGGCTTTATGAAAACAGCAAAATGGGGAGCCGTGCATAGCATAAAAATTATCTCAAGTATTAAAATATTTTCATTTCTGAGATTGACAAATTTTTTTTGTAACTGGTTGGTTAGTGGATACAGTCGAATCATAACTTTTTGTTTGTTAAATTTAGTGACTTGTTCTTTGTGGACTAATAAGCTTGTATGATTGAGGAAAGGTCTCGGGTCACCATATCTGACCTCCTCTGGCTTTCCTATTGCCGTGGGGCAGAGGTCAGACATGCTTCCAACCTCCATCCTTCCTTATCTAAGACCAACCTTTCCTTCCATGACTCTCTACTTCTATGTTGGGTTTGATAATTTGCTGCAGTGATCACGCACAACTCACAGACAGCCCTCATGATCAAGGGGAAATTTTATTAGGGAAGTCAATAGGTCACAACAAACCAAGATCAGAAAACATTAAGAATATACTCATTGGGCCACATCACTTCTCAGCCAGCAGCCACATCTTTCTCTAGTTCTTAGCTCGGCAGCCATGGTGGTCTCTTGGCCTCTGCCTACATGGGCCAGGATGCTAACCTGCTGCTCTGCCTTACAGGCTCAGTCTGTTCCTCTGTCCTGGCTCATGGTCTCCTTGCCTTGGCATCTGGTGACTCTGGTCGTGGCCTCTGGCACTTCAGACAGAGATCTCAAACATGCTCTACTCCAGATGGTCCTGGGATTTCTCTCTCTTCCTACCAGCACTGCTCATCCTTCTAACCAGGGGAGTTGCAACTAACCCTGACCAGTCCCCTCTGTTCGTGTCACACATGCCCTATTTGCTAGTCCCACCCAATCATTTGGTGGGAGTTACAGAGACATGGATAGAAGACCCATAGTAAGCAATTTCACTCCGCCACAGTGGTCAATTAAAAACCATACTTAGTGGATATTGAGTCGAATATATACTTGTGGAATATAAAATTTAATATGCCTATCAAATTTGGCCTTAATTCTGTATTATATAGATCACATACTTATTTACTGTCATTTGTTAAGACTTGTAAAGACTGACAGAAATACTGATTATCCACTACTGTAGGAGTTTTGTCCATTCTTGCATTTTGTGGTAGTTTTGGGTTAATGTATATTTTAGTATTGTGTCAATTGACTTGTAAAAGTTCATGAGTTTATCTTCATTTACATTAATTATTTCTTGAAGACCTGCTATATGTAGACTATGCTCTAAGATGTAGAAAAGAACAGAAAGGCAAAGTTCTCTTAGAACTTGAATTCTAGTGGAGGGGAGAGAATAAAGAACTGACCAAATGTATAATGTATTGCTCACTCATTGGCCAGTGGCTTCAGTCTTTCCATTTCTATTGTGACTTTTATCTTTTATCCATAAACCTTGACTAAAACATTGTCAGTATTTCCAACTCATCTTTTTTGTTTGTCCATACTTATGGGCATAAAGCAAAACGATAGACCCAGTATACTGTACCTAGGCCTATTGTTCTCAAAGGGACTTCATGGGAAAATTAAATGAAAAGATAATGAAAATTTTCCACCGACTTTTTGTTTGTAACATTATATTTAGATGTTTGTCTTATAAAAAAAGTTTAGTTTTTATAGCCCAATCTTTAACAGGTGAGTTAGTTGTTTAGACAGAGGTTTATTTTAACTTCTGTTGGTTCATGTTTTTGTTTCCCTGCATTTTTAAAGAAAACTTTGTTTTTTACTACTGGTAATTTGAAAGGCACACCATCTACAATTTTATCAGAGGATGGCTTGTAAGACACTAAATAATATCCTTAAAACTTGTGTTTTTATTTATCAATTAAAGAAATGAAACCATTAGCTATTGACTTCTTAAAGGGAAAAGTGTTAAAATTTGCATATTGACTCACTCCCAATCTTTAAGTGTTTGTTAGTGTATTTTGATATTTTTAGCCCCAAACCTTTCTGATTAGCCTTGTGTATGCACACACACACACACACACACACACACACACACACGTCTTTTTTAAGGGTCTTATTTACAATATACTTGTAAATAAAATAACTAATTAGACTTGGTTCTATATTTCATTCTATTCTATACCTATCATTTATTTGTTTGTTTATTTCTTACTTTGCCATTTGTTCAATTTTTGTTTGTTTCATCTGTTGATAGAATGGATTATAGATTTTTCTCTAAGTATTAGGAATAATATCCTTGGAATCCACAAATTAAATTTTATTCCCAATCGTGGTCTTCCCTCAGTCTCTCTCATTTTTGTAGGCAATCAGTCTGTCAGCCAGTTCACTTAACTCCAACTCGCAAATATTCTGAATCTACATTCATATTGTTACCCATACCCTCCTGGTCTCCCTGTTTCCTCTTTCCCACTTCCATTCTGTTACTCGATTTCCACAAAGCTGCTGCAGTGACCTTTTAAAAGCTTAAACCAGATCATAGCTCTTTCCTCCTTAAAACCTTCACAAGCATCCAGATCTGCTTAGAATCGTATCTAGACTTTCAGCCTTGCTTCTAGAAGCCTATGTTATCTCCTTATGCTTCTGTGAGTGAATTTTGTAACTCTTCCTTTCCTGTTTTGCCTCGGCTATTTAAGCGGTTGAGATTATACTAACCCTTCCATTCTTCCTGAAGTTCTGTTTTTCATGAACTTGATTCATAAGGCTCTTGTTTGTTTCTGTCGTTTTCAGCCTAAGTGTCATGTCCTCTGGTCATTCTGGACTATCTAATTTAAAGTATCTCATCTCTCTTGTTATTTCATTTCTCTGCATAGGACATGTAATCACCGGATTTCTTTTTACTTAAATATATTTATCATCTTTCTTCCTCTCTTAGACTGTAAGAGCCAGGACAATTGGTATCATCTGTTTTCACTGTTAGATTTCAACACCTGGAATTGTGTAGGCACATTGTAACTACTCAGTAAGTGTTCACTGTACAAGTGAATAGTATAAATGCCTTTGTGTAAGCATTCACTAGGTTTAGAATTGCATCACATTCTTCTCCTCTGCCCTCATTGTCTCCTTGTGTACCGGCGGGAAAGAAGAATTAAAAGATAATGGAATTTTCTGATTGTAGCAGAAGCAGGGAGGTTCTTTTTTGTGAGTAATTTCAACAGACTATAGTTTGGTCTTTTCTCTGGTTCACATCACAATATAAGGACTTGGACAGAGTGGGAGAAAATTACATAATAAAATTTAGAAAAACAAAGAAGACCAGACCTGTCTGGTGGAAACTAGTGGAACCAAGGAGACTTTGGTCCTTGATATCTGGGACTAAACTTAATCCTAGATCACTTTTTAGCCAAGTAATAGACGGACCCTACACAATGAATTGCAGCACCGGTGAGGAATGTGTTCTTCAGAACAATCAACCATAGGAAACTACAAGGGCAGCCTTTGCCCGGAAAACAAAGTTCAGAAGGCAAGAAA